TAAAAAAATAAAAAGTTTGAGAACTGTTGTTTTGGTAAAAAGTTGTCTATGGTGATGCCAAGAAGAGGAGAAAACAGATAATAGGTAGTCAACAAGGGAATTTCAGGTGGTAAGAGATAACATGTAGACCCTAGGTGAAGTTTATGATCAGGGAAGGGCTCTGTTTAGGGCTTAGGGATCTTTTTGGTGTTGGAAGAAGCAAAAGATAGTTAGCACTGTGAGAGGCTGGGCGGATGGATTGCCTGAGCTTATAGGTTCAAGACCAGCCTGAGCAAGTGCGAGACCCCGTTTCTAAAAACAGCTGGGTGTTGTGGTGGGCACCTGTAGTCCCAGCTACTCAGGAGGATGGCTTCAGCCTAAGAGTTTAAGCTTGCTGTGAGCTGTGATGCCATGGCATTCTACCAAGGGCAACAGAGTGAGATGCTGTCCCCCCACCCCCCAAAAAAGAACATAGTTTAGTTACAAATGTTCATTTTTATTTACTTGGAATTGTGACTAGATTTAAATCCAGAAAAAGTTGGTTTTTAGTTAGAAAATATCTGAAGCATATTTGCTTTAAAAGTATCTAGGAAATAAACACAGAGCCTACATTACTGCTGATAGAAAAATAATACTGATTTTATTTGACATCTAGCAAGTTAATTCTCTGTACTGTTTTTTTCTTCTGAAAATGAGAGACTTGGTTAAGATCTTTTCCAAGTATAAAATTTCTGGGTACATTCGTTCGCTTCATCTAGGATGGGGGTACGTTTTGCCTCTTCTTCCTCCTAAGTAAATCTTCCCTGATTAGATAACTTCTATGTCATATTGTAAGGTGGGGATAAATGCCTAACTTGCCTTCAGAACAGGTTAAATAAGCATATGTAAAGCATTGAGGACAGTATCTGGCACATACACGTACTAAGTGTTTAATACATTAGTGAGAATGGAGGAAAGTCAGTATGTAGCTTGCTAACCTTGGAACCATTGGAACTATAGCAGAAAGATGAAAACCAATGGCTGGGGCTTGGCACCCGTCGCACAGTGGTTACAGCGTCGGCCACATGCACTGAGGCTGGTGGGTTCAGACCGGCCTGCACCTGCTAAAAACAATGACAGCTGCAACAAAAAAAATAGCTGGGTGTTGTGGCGGACACCTGTAGTCCCAGCTGCTTGGGAGGCAGAGGCAAGAGACTCCTTTAAACCCAAGAGTTTGAGGTTGCTGTGAGTTGTGACACCATGGCACTCTACCGAAGGTGACATAGTGAGACTCTGTCTCAAAAAAAATAAAAATAAAACTGACAGCTGGGGGCAGTGGCTCGCTCTTAATCCTAGCACTCTAGGAGGCCAACATGGGCAGATTGCCTGAGCTCAGGAGTTCTGAGACCAGCCTGAGCAAGACTCATCTCTACTAAAAACAGGAAATTAAGCCAGACATAGTGGTGCATGCCTGTAGTCCCAGCTACTCCAGAGGCTGAGGCGGGAGGATTGTTCAAGCCCCAAAGTTTGAGGTGAGCTATGATGCCACAGCACTCTACCCAGGGTGACAGAGTAAGACTCTGTCTCCAAACAAACAAAAAGTCAAAACCATTAACGAGTAGTCAAGGTCCAATGAGAGACTTGAAAATTAAAGATGAAAATGTACAGAGAATTAGAAGAGTAATCCAGTTGCCCCACCCCAGAGGCTGCTCCAAACCTTGAGGCTGCTCAGGAGATTAAGGGGAAAAACAAAAAACAATGCAATCAGAATTTAGGTGGCATTCCAATTTATAGGAAAGAAAAGGGAAGCAGCCATGTTTTTTTTCTTTTCTTTTTTGTGACAGAGTCTCACTGTGTCACCCTGGGTAGAATGCTGTAGCATCACAGCTCACAGCAACCTCAAACTCTTGGACTCAAGCCATTCCCTTGCCTAAGCCTCCCAAGTAGCTGGGACTACAGGCGCCCCGCCACAATGCCGTGCTATTTTTTTGTTGTAGTTGTTGTTCAGCAGGCCCTGGCCAGGTTCGAACCTGCTAGCCCTGGTATATGTGGCTGGCGCTGTAACTACTGAGCTATGGGCTGAGCACTTTTAAACCTTAAAGGCTTAAGCCCCAGCTATAGATTTCCAAAGTGAGATGTCTGGTCACCTCCGTGTTGGCAGTCCTAGGAACTGTGCCATTACTTCTTTCTTATTGTAAAATTTTTTATTGTTCGTGTAGTTACTTCTACCTTGCTGTGTATGGTAGGAAGCAGCAAACTCTTTTCTCCTACCCTGTCCTAAGCACAGCACACCAAGCAGTTCTCCAGCTGTCACTAACTGGATATCCTGTAATTTAATTCTGACACTGTCTCCCTGGAGTTAGGTTAAGGGCTTGGTGCCATGAGATTGGTCTCTAATTTAGATGCCAATACAAGACCCAAGTAATCTGTACTGCTGACCAACCTTCTGTAAATTGGGATTCCCCAGACCCTCCCTCAGGTTCAGTAATTTGCTCAGACAGGTCCCAGAACTCAGGAAAGTTTTACTTACATTGCCTGTGCATCATGAAGGATAATACAAAAGGTACAGAGAAACAGCCCCAGAAGAACGGGGCAAGGCACCTGGGAAGGGATGCAAGCTTTCCTCCATGCCTTCTCTGGGCTTTCCTCTGTCCACGCACTTACACATGACCCGGAGTTTAGAAGCTCTGTGAACCTTGTCCTTTGGGGTTTTATGGAGGTTATATAGGTATGGTTTATTAAATCACTGGCCTTTGGTGATCGTCTCAACCTTTGGCCCCCTCTCTTCCTGGAGGTAAGGGCGAATTTGAAAGTTGAAATCCTTTGATGATGAGTGTGGTTTCCCTGGCTGCCAGCTCCCATTCTGTGGCT